CCCACACACACAAACATGTAGTCATCGCCCCCGAACTTCCTTCACTGCACCGCTCCCCACTCCCACATCTCATCCGCCCAACAAGATGCACCCCGCCTTCCACGCCAGCTGTACGTACTCATCCTCTCCAGCCATGCAGTACGTCGATTGCTGGTCGGAGAGCGGCGAGGCTCTCGTCGTCGTCTTTCCCCGCTCGTGGTGAGAAGTAGCGCGACATTTTCTGAAGCTGCATCTTGTTGTACTTCGATGGCGGTGTGCCACCGCATTCTCGGATGTACTCTATTAGGTCGGGGACCCTTAAACTCGCCCAAGCACTCGAGCCGAGGATACGATTAAGCTCTAACTGGCGATCTCTCTGCGCGGCGGTGTAGACTTTGACCGGTTAGGGCGCCTTTGCTTGTTTCGTGGTCGACCCCTTTTCGCCGACCCCCGCCTTCAACTTGTCTCTTAGCGCCATCTCTGCTTTGCGGTTTTTTAAGCGCTTCTTCAGGCTCGTCAGGTCATTCGTGAATGCAACATGCGGCAATTGTGCTGCTTCTTCAATACGAAATCGAACAGCTCGTCACATTGATTTGTGCACCCCTTTCCCCCATCGGACCCGAGGTGAGGGTCTTCCACCATCCCCACACACCTTGTCCATTCCACCTACACCGGCTGAGCGTGGAAACCACCCTGTATATTTCCGACGGCAAGTCACCCAGGTAATTCGCCAACAGGGCGGGGTTGCGCAATGGAGATCGATACCCTGACTCAAGCGCCCGCACGAAAGGAAGGAAATCAGCCGACGCGAAACGAGACCCCTCCCTTCCCACGGGTTGTTCCTCTCCTCGACCACGAATTCCAAGATGAAATGAGGGTAAGCCTCCCGGAACTCCTCGGCGGATGCAACTTTGTGACTGTTGAAGGGCAAGAACGCCGAACCAAGCGAACGCTGTCTACTCACGCGCGAAAGAGCGCTACGCATAGCCACCCCGCAATGTTGTATGCTAGACGCCGTTGATGAAAGTCAAGATCAACGTCTTCGGCAGGATACGCCACGTTGACGAGATGGGCCGCGTCCGTCTGTTGTGTGAGGGTCTTATCAACGACCTGTCCGGAAAATCACGTGTGTGTCGCGGGTTGGGGTAATAGCACCATCATCGCAGAAACCACGAAACACACAAAAAACACGAAATAAACAGGTACAGCGGCAAGATTCACGCGCCCATACCCCTCTGGCGTCAAGATGCCAACCATTGGAGACAGACTCACCTCGTCGATGGCCCCGAACACGCAAGTGAGTTTATGAGCGACACGCCGACTATCCTCTCCCAGCTCGAGAGCCTTGCGGACGATGCTCGGCTCGCTGCTGAACTCCTCTTGCTTTGGAAAGCGCTCTTCCTCCCGCTCTTATTCGTACGCTAGTGCCTGTTTCGACAAAGGCGGCTGTTTGGAAATTCCACAAGCGCCCCCACGAGAACCCCCCACCACCCGAGAATCGCGTCCTTCACTTCCTGCACATCGAGTAAACCTACAACGATCTGCTTGTACTCTGGCACTTGCCCCATCCAATGTGCCCGGAGACGCTCCCCAACCAAGTCAACCACCCTCTGGCCTGTCGGGAGCTGGTTGACGACGATCTCGGCCATGGCTGCATAGGTCCGTCGTGCGAGGAGCATACGACGTGCAGGAGGCGGCAGCTTAAAACAACGCTTACGTATGATTGCTTTCATGGCGCCCCTCTCCCTTCATACAAAACAATGTTACCTTGACACGAAATCTGAAGACGATGGTGGCCTCCCCTTCTCACCTGATGATTGGCTTCGGAAGTACCCGTTTCTTCATCTTTTGTCTCTTCATCCTCCTCCTTCTCGTCTTCCGTGGTGAAGGCATCCAGGCAATCGTTCAGGCGCTCTAAGTCCTCGAAATCTTCATCGTCTTGATCAAAATACCTCTCATGTCTGCGTCAAATACCACGAGTTCGTGCGCGGGGGTGGGTGGGGAGTGCGGGACACGCATGCGTAAGGAGTTAGGGAGCAACCGGAATCAGCTCCACCACCCGGGGGTGGTGTTGGCGTCCCCGACCCGCGTGACAACCGCTCAGCCCCGAGGGTCGCTACGGTTCAAGACGCCTGATTCGGTGGTAGCGGCGGGGTCTGCTTGATAAAACTGACAAGGTGGGGGGCGAAGGGTTCTCACCACACGAAGACTCCGAGGAGTGTATCGATACCTTGATAACGGTGAAGAAGTAAATTCCTACAAGTTCGAACACCCATGTAGGAGTCTTCAGGGAATAATATCTTGCATGCGCAGGCATCGGTCAATCCTATGGAAACGATAGCACACGCTTACGAAGCTATTCTTACCCGAGTCTTCGTCGTCGCTCCCATGTTGCTCGGGATTGCTGTGGCCCTTTCCCTCTTGTTGCCCTCAGTAACTGCTTCCTGCGCGACGGCATCGATGGGGCATCAACAGAGGCAGATCAACACCAAGCTCTACCACCATGATACTATTTTACAGCGAATGCGCCAATTGGACGGCGCACACAACACACTCAGTGCGCTGTCAAACTTGTCCTCGTGCTAACCCTTCCCTGTAAGTTGGCATACCTCTTCCACAGAAAAGAATGAAGGCGATGCACGACCACAGCACAGCCGTCGTCATCTTCGCCAGAACCATCACAGCCCTCCCCTGCAGCCGCCTCGCGCAGGTCGTCCATGATTTTGAAGTGCGGTTTGTTGGGAGAATTGTGTGCAAGAACTGACTCTAATCAACTGCAGGGTTTGGTGCTGGTGAAGGCGTGTATCCAAGTCTGTAACCGTCAGGTGAAGACAGATTGGACGCCGATGTGTGAAATAATGATCACTCTGTGTTTCTCTACCCGAGCCTCTTGCGTCACATACGCCAACCACAACGTACAACAGCGGTGAGGTCCCGCTAGTACTCCCAACAGGTCACGCGCCTTGCGCGGTAGGGGAACTACGTTGAGTCAACATGGCGCAATCGTTGAACTATCTCCAGAGGGGTTATGTGCCGTTCAGCGGGGATCCGGCTCAATTCGAGGGTTGGGTCACGCTGACTCGGTCCCTCATGTCCGAAGCTGGACTGAGTAGGGTCATGTCGGGAGCGGAGATTGCTCCTGCACCTTTGCCAGCGGGAGCGACCGACACTCAAATCGCGGGACACGAGAAAATTGCCCTAAAGTTCAAGGAAAAGAACAGAAAAGTGTACACGAGACTGCTTCTGGCCACGTCTGATGGCCCGGATGGATTCTCCAGCCCTGCTTCGCAAGTGGCACAGCAGCATGGGCCAGTCGGTGACGAGGAGTATGGTGATGGACGAGGTGCGTTCGTTGCTCTCCAGCAGAAGGACCGTGCTGAGGGTGTATTTCGCATGCAACAGCTCCATGAGGAGCTTACTTCCGTGATGATCACTGCAGCCGACAAATACGACCCGGCCCAAGCGATTCAACAGTTGCGCCGCATCTGCCTCGAACTGGACAAGTTAGGAGATACAGGTGTGGAAACACGGAAATCAGGTGCCCTCCTACGAGCCCTCCCTAATGAACGCCATGGCTCGTTCAAGAATGTCCTGATGAGCGAAAAGACAATCCTCGGAAGCGATGGTCTCGTATTCGAGGAGATAGCGCGCCGTGCAACTTCGTATTATGCCATGCAAATTCGCGGAGAAATGTTTGACCATGGTGACGGTTCAGGCAGCCACGGCCGTGCGGTGAACACTGTCGCGCACGAAGGAGCACGTGGTCTCCGCAGGCGTGGCGGCCGTGGCGGCCGTGGTGGACGCAGCCGCCGAGGTAATGGCGGCCGAATTGCAGACGGTTTGACCAGTGGAAGTGGGTCGAACGGCAACAACAACAACAACAACGGAACCTCCGGAGGAGACAGCGCGGGAAATGCGCATGGCGGACGCGGGAATGATCGCAGGAGCCGAAACGCTGGAGGTCGTGGTCGGGCTCAGGATACCGGCCGCAACCGTCAAGGACGTTGCAGATACTGCCGTAACAGCACCGAGCACGGGTGGGACGAATGCCCGCTCCGCCGGAGGCACGAGGCGGAGGACAGCAACACAGGACAGGTGCACAACACGCAAGACTCCACCACGCAGACTTGGTACACGCGGGTGGAGGCGGTGGACCATGAATTTGAAGATTTTCGCCATCGTCTTCGATAACGACAAGCAGGAGCTGAACGCCCCTGCTGTGGCGTTGCCGAGGGAGCGCGCTGCTGCTGGTGACCAGGAGCAAGACGCGACTGCACCGGCGCTGCCAGACGGAGTCGAAACATATAATCCGCAAGTATGGGAGTGCGCTGCTGGAGATAGATGAGCAGACGCACGATGTGCCCGAGTCGGCGCTGCCGAATGTGCGCGCCACTGACGACCTGCAGGAATTCGCGGATCCTGCGGCAGCGACGGAACTCGATCTCATTACCCCTCCTGACTCTCCGGCCGAGAAAGTGACAGAGCTGGTAAGGTACACTAGCGTGTTTCAAGTGGACAAGGAGTCGAATGATGTTGGTGATACGACGCTCTACATAGATACAGCGGCGTCGAGCCATATGGTAGATGCTGAATCCCGCATGTCCAAGCGTGTGTTCGACCCAGTGGACTGCGCCGTGCGTATCATCGGGTCGTGCGGAAATTCTAGCGCTACCATGAAAGCACCCTGAAGTTTGGATTTCGTAGTGAGCAAGGCAACATTGTGACGGTGGCACTGGACGTCCTCCTGGTTCGTAATCTAGGAGCGAATATTCTGTCGGTTGGAGCGCTGGCCGAAAAGGGGGTTAAGTGCAATTTAATGTCTATCCCTCCGGCGCTCCGACGCGGCGACCAGGCCTTTCCGATATCAATCGCTGCGCCTCGCATGTACGTGATAAACGTCATCATTGACGATCTCAACATGGACGATGTAGAAGTGTATCGCACCAAGGTCGACGCTCACCTGTGGCACCGGAGGATGGGCCACTCACTGCAATCCACGTGCACTGCAGCAGCTGGCGGAAATGGATACCACTGGAGTAAAGTTCCATCACAACATCGAGTCAGGTGACTGCAGCGTATGCGCGGTCGGGGATAGCAAGAAGGGCAGTCACCCTCCATCTGATCACCCCCACTCTGAAACCCGGCTAGAGATTACATGCGCCGACGTGTGGGGGAAGCACCCCATCAAGTCGTTAGGGGGCTGCCAGAGTACCGTGATGTTCACTGACGTGTTTTCTCGCATGAGGTTCGGCTTCCCAATCACGACAAAAGACGAAACGGCGGAGTCTCTCCACAAATTTGTCCGGGAGGTAGCCGACCCGATCGGGCAAAGCATCGGCACGATGCACTGCGATGGTGCAGGAGAATTCCAGGGCAGATTCCTGGAGCTGTGCAAGTCCCTCGGAATTACGGTCAAAACTAGCGCCCCATGAACTCCACAGCAGAACTCCATCGCAGAACGTGGATTTGGCACCATCATCGGAACTACTCGCAAACTAATGCTGGGCGCACCGCACCTTCCCAGCGAGCTGTGGGCTGAAGCATACCAGACCGCCATCTATCTCAAGAATCGCACACCAACTGAAGTCCTGGGCGGCAAATCCCCACTCGAGGTATGGGAGGGTAAGCCGCTAGGTAATCTGCTGCACATTCACGAATGGGGTTCGATGGCCTTCAAACACGAGGAAGCGCGTTTCCGTCCCAACAAGCTTGCGGCCAGGGCCAAGAAGATGTATCTGGTAGGCTGTAATACCAAGGGTAGGTCGTACAGACTGTGGGATCCTTGCGGAGCCTTCGAAAATCACCAACTCTGCCGAAGCATCCTTCCGTGAAAAGGAGATGCGCGACGTGGTTAAACCCAAAGTAGGGCGCGATCCGTTTCCTGTGCCAAACACGACAATCTACCAGCCTGGTATGGAAGAATCTAACGAAGAAGAAACTAACGACGATGGCGATGAAGAAGAAGACCAAAGTACTGCAGAGTCGACACCATCTGTTCCAGAACCACGACGGAGCGCCAGGGCATCTGCACCGCCGCAAAGGTTGAATCTATTTACGGTGACCTCGGAGGAGGATGCTTATCAGCAGGTGGAACAAGCTCGTCTGACAGGGGGTGTACTCGGAAACGTCGGGACAGGTAACCCTGGAGAAATAGGTTACAGGTCTCCCGACCCGACCAACTACGACGACGCAACACGTGGACCAGATGCTGACCACTGGAGGGAGAGTATGCGCGAAGAAAATCGTTCGCTCACGGAACTCGACGTATACGATTGGGTGAAACGGCCGGCGGACGGTGATATACTTCCGTCAAGATACCTATACAAACGGAAGTACGAAGCAGACGGAGAACTGGCTCGACTGAAGAGTCGTATCGTGGTCCAAGGCTTCCATCAAGAAGACACCGGAGAAGACAAGGCATCATCAGTGGCGACATTGGAGGCGGTGCATCTAGTAGTCGCCGTCGCTGCTCAGAATGACTTTGTTCTAAAACAGGCTGACACCAAGACAGCGTTCCTACATGCCAGGATCCCCGCTAACGCAGACCCGATTTATGTTTGTCCTCCGAAAGGCTTCGAATGCTCTCCAGCACAAGCACGGCCGGTGTGGCGACTAAAGGCATGGCTCTACGGATTGCGTCTCTCCCCGAAAGGCTGGTGCAGCACCTTCCACGACTTCCTGATTGAAAAAGGGTTCGTACAGAGTAAAGCAGACTCCTGTCTCTACATTCTCGAAGCGGAAGGAGTTATCCTTCTCGTGTACGTTGACGACATCCTGCTGTCGGGGAAGGACGAGGAGAAGGTCGTGATGGTCGTTGATCTGCTGAAGGAACGGTTCAACACGGTGTTCTTGGGGGATGCTCAGCACCTGCTTGGTATGAAGCTTGAGAGGAACGTCGACGCCGGTACCATATTCCTTTCTCAAGAGACGTACGCAAAGACCGTGCTCGATCAGTTCGGAATGGCCGAATCGCGCCCGGTGAAGACACCGGCGGGACCTGGACCTATCAGCATCGAGGAGGAGAAAGTTTCATCTCCAGAGGACACGACGTNCGTGTACGTTGACGACATCCTGCTGTCGGGGAAGGACGAGGAGAAGGTCGTGATGGTCAAGATCAGACTGCTGAAGGAACGGTTCAACACGGCGTTCTTGGGGGATGCTCAGCACCTGCTTGGTATGAAACTTGAGAGGAACGTCGACGCCGGTACCATATTCCTTTCTCAAGAGACGTACGCAAAGACCGTGCTCGATCAGTTCGGAATGGCCGAATCGCGCCCGGTGAAGACACCGGCGGGACCTGGACCTATCAGCATCGAGGAGGAGAAGGTTTCATCTCCAGAGGACACGACGTACTACCGGTCCGCCACGGGTAGCCTTCTGTATCTCAGCAGGGGCTCAAGACCAGACATAACACACTCGGTGATGGTGCTCGCGAAAAGTATGGCGAAGCTAGGTCCCAGAGCGATGACAAAGCTGAAGCGGGTACTCCGGTATCTAAAAGGAACGACCTCTATCGGAATCACATACACCGAAGACGCCGACGGCGGAGATAAACTCACGGCGTACGTGGACTCTGATTTTGCAGGTGACCAAGACAATGGCTACTCCACAACCGGTGCCGTTCTCTATCTCGCAGGTGCCCCAGTGGACTGGATATCCAAGAAGCAAACGGTGCTGGCCATCTCAACGTTCGAGGCTGAAGCCGTTACCCTGTCCAAGGCGTGCACTATTGTCATCCAATTTCGTAATTTGCTGAAGTCGCTGGACATGAAGCAGGAGCAGCCCACGGTAGTGTTTGAAGACAACGCAGGCGCTATAGCGTTTGCTAAGGGCGCCAAACTCACGCCCCGTAACAAACATATCGACGTCAAGTATCACCACACAAGTGCTTAGAGGAGAAGAAAATCGTCGACGTCAAGTACATCGAGACTAATTTGCAGCAGGCTGACATCCTGACTAAAAGCCAGGGAGCTGTGAAGTTCCTCCAGAACCGCCTTCTCTTGCTTGGAGTGTAAACACCTCCCCATTACCGAAATCAGACATTATGTCTCAAGGGTTGGACGGTGCATGGAATATTATTGTAGAATAACAAACGTTGGAAAGTAGAAGAACATTTCGATGCAATCAATGAGTAAATATTTAGGAGTTGGTTCGAGGGCATGCACTCACGTCGATAGCACATTTGTCGAGAGGACACTGGTATTGTTTCGAGAGGACATTGAGATTGAGAGAATTTCGTGTCTCATGTATCAGAGCTGGTATGACGTAGTTCTTGAGAGGACATGTTGGGAGAATTGTGTGCAAGAACTGACTCTGTTCTACTGCAGGGTTTGGTGCAGTATGGTGAAGGCGTGTATCCAAGTCTGTAACCGTCAGGTGAAGACAGCTTGGACGCCGATGTGTGAAATATTGATCACTCTGTGTTCCTCTACCCGAGCCTCTTGCGTCACATACGCCAACCACAACGTACAACAGCGGTGAGGCCCCGCTAGTACGCCCAACACGGTTGTCCACCTGTTCCGGTACTTCGTTGGTACGCTGGTGAGTGGAGAGGCGTGCATATTGCCCCGACGTTCCCGCGAGCCCGAAAACCCAAAGAATATGAACATACAATAAATAGTTGCGGCCACGCCGACGCGAAAATTGCGCAGCCGTATGCATACGAGTTTCGGCATACGCGGTCGCGTCATGTACCTGTTGGTGGGCAGTGACTCGAAACGTCGTTATCTCGCCGTCAAGTGGATCTCTGGACACGATTGCACACTCCCGAATACAACGGACTAAGCACGTAACAACCAGGTGACAGACCTCGCGCTACACTGCCGTTCTTTGGTGTCTACTGTACCAACAGACTCTGCGTTGTCCGACCTGTTTGGGTTTAAGTTAGGTTGCGTATATACAACACCGCCTGGGGCGCGATTTTCAAAGCATGATTACTCCACGTCGCAGAAGATGCATACATGAAAGCAATACGTTTTCGGAAAGCTCTCGACAAGCCAGCGGTGGTAGGCGACTGTTTTCGTTGCCGTCCCGCTCCATGCATTGGAGAAATCGAGCTATGACAACCGATTTCAAGGGGTGTAGTATCGTAAGTCACCTACGTGCTACACACGTTGCCTCTTGCGTCGATAATGCATCGTCCACATTATGCATCCAATTAATGCCACACGGCAAAGAATATAAGAGCAATACTCTTTTGGGCCATCTCCCACGCTCCTGAGGGACGTCGGCGATACAGAAACCAGTAGGACATGACATGTATCACCGGCCGCGTGAGTGCGGGCCCACCGAATTCGAACAATAATCAGAAGTTTTCTCACAAGTCCGAAGCGAGTTGATGACCGTTTGACATGAAACTTTGCAACATCCGAGGAAATGTAGTTGATTACGAAGGGTCGGCAACTGTTGCGTGCGGTAACGCTTAGTTGCCGAGAGCGACGGCGAAGGGCCCTAGCACCTCGCTGCTGTTGGGTTGAACCAAGCTTGGATAGGCTGTAGAGGTGTTCCGCGGTAAAGACGAATTATCTCTCCCGCGGCGAGGAAAAACTCGAATGAAAAACCGTTTTTGGATAGAATACATGTCTAAAACGACGTTTAAAAGCATAAAAAAAAAAATGTGATCGGATCGCCTTGGTCGTTTTTTTTCACCGCGTTGCCGATTTCGGCGCCTCCATTTCTCCTCGGCAATCGATTCCGCTTGGGCCAAGTTGACCGATATAGAGGGTGTAGAGCCACTCAGAAAGTTGATCAGACAAAACCTCGACGTGGGAACCGAGAATCCAAAATCCCAGGAATTTTGAAATTGCTCAGCTACTGTCAGCTTTTGAGCAGCTGAAAGTCCATTGCAAATCAAAACTGGGACATTCCAACAATATATTTGTGATCCCCACCCCAAAATTACCCTGATTCGAAGTCAGGAGAGATTGAATCAACATGTAGAAAGTGCTGCGGGAGGGGGGATATTTCAGTGTAATTCGTAGTAATTCCAGGTTATCCCTGCTTTCGCGCATATACATCAGTGCGTAGCTGTATCACGGCCGCATCGATCCTGATCAAAATTCTGATGACGGATTCTTGATGTACAACACAACATTGACCTAACCTGAAAATTTTATGCGATTCGGAGGCGTTTGCAACTTGCTCGGGGGGCCCGCAGACGCGATTTTCAACCAATTTCGGCCACTAATTCATCAATAAGTCATCACCACGACATCCAAATGGGAAAATAAGTATATTNATACTTTTACGATGTCAATGACAGTAGAAATAAGTCCTACATATGTTGTTGTACTTCGTATTGGTTTAATATTCATGTAGAGTATGAGACATTAAGTGAAATTTTTCTGAGGTACATCTGCAATTGTCGGAAGGCAAAAATAAATAAATAAATATATATTTTCGTGATCCTCGTGACCTAACGGATGTTGGTACAAACTTTCAGAGGTTATGAATCATTTCTTGCTGCTCATTGAAACACTCGTGGAAACTATTCGTCTTTACCGCGGAACACCCCTGTAACTTTTTTCAGTTTTTCTCCACGCACCTGCTGCGGACTGAGCCTGTTCTCTCTGCACAAAAATAAAACCCAGGTGTATGGAGCCACGTCCTTGCACCCTAGCGAGGAGCAGCACTCTCCTGGTGGGCTCCACTGCTTGCGTGTGTGGGGCGGCGTGGTGCCATGCCCAGGGGACTCATATGTTTTCACGAAGCATGTTTTTCGGTGCGAAAACCCGGCGAGCATCGCGGACAGATTTTATATAGGAAATTTGGGAGTGATCCGCCCATGGCTACTATATATATGCCATAGTCTATGGCTCGCGGCGGCGGTGGAGCGCAGGGGGCGCCGCGAAAACAATAGCCACGTTCTCCCCCCACTTTGAGGAGGTGAAGCCGTGGGCGGTAGCTTGCTCCTAGATAGAGAAAGATGAAGATTCTGTCGTTGACACACACACTTGTCCACGACCACGTTGAGATGGGAAAGTTGCTTGGTACACACGTGGCCAATCGGCTCATCGAAAAACCCTCTACAGGGAGGATGAAGTCAACCCTGTGGAGGGTTTCCGTTTTTGTTCGGCCCCCCACAGGGTATAAGGAATTTTTCCGGTCAACCCTCCGAGGGACTTGAGAACAGACCCTCTAGAGGGTACTGATACTGTTTCCTCAAGAGGGTTATGAACCCTCTAGAGAGTTGCTAAATCCAACCCTCTAGGGGGGTCGCGTGTCAAAGTCCCTCTGAGGGCTGACTTACAAAGCTCCTTTACCCTATGGGGGGCCGACAAACATGAAAACCCTCCAGAGGATATTCTGTTTGCAGCCTCTCTGAAGGCTGAACAAACCTCCAGAGGGTTGCCACGTTCATCCCTCTAGAGGGTTTTGTGTGTTTCAGTCCCTCAGAGGATTAACTGAAAAAATTCCTTATACCCTATGGGGGGCGAGGAAAAAATGAAAAGCCTCCAGAGGATATTCTGTTTGCAGCCTCTGCAGGCTGAAAAAACCTCCAGGGTTGCCAAAGTCAGCCCTCTCAGGGGCTTGTGTGTTCAAGTCCTTCAGAGGGTTGTATGCCCATTTTTCCTTATACCCTATTGGGGGCATAGAAAAATGAAAAAAAGCCTCTATAGATATTTTCTGGTTCGCAGCCTCTGCAGGCTGAGAAGACCTCCCGAGGGTTGGTAAAGTCAGTCAGCTAGGGGGTTTGTGGGTTCAAGTCCCTCAGAGGGTTCTTTGTCCATATTTCCTTTTTCCCTACGCGGGGGGGGGGCGTACTCTCATGTTTTGCATGCCTTAGCGGTTAGACCATTGACCACGCGTCCTCGAGAGGACGGAGCATTGTTCCCACAGGACCGATCACCGATGGCCAATCGTTCCTTTCTACTTTGCCAAAGGCGGCTCAAAAATGTCTTCCCTAGTCTGCCTATCCTGACGATATCTCTTCCCGCCTTTTCGATCCACCTCCTATGCCCCTGCAGCTACCGTCCTTTCCTCTCTATCCCATGCCTCAACATCTCCCTGTACGTCCCATCTATTTTTCCCAGCTCAGTCACGTACACTTCCCTCTCCTTCTTGTACAACGGACATTCCGCGACTACATGAACACGGTCTTCGCATTCGAAGCCGCAATCACATTTGAACTCGTCGTCTTCCTCGTCTACCGTCCTATCTATGTCTTCGTCGACGTTCTCGAAGGCCTATGTCCCTGGTCCTGAATTTGACCTCAAGCGTTGTTCCTGCATCCTTTGGTCCATGTAGGTAGTCCTTGAACCCTATTCCTTCCTTCAACATTCCGTACACTTCTAGACCCTCCTTATCCTTTGTTTCTTTCCTTAGATTCTGTTCTCTTCTCTCTCGGCACAAGAAACAGATCAGATATCTTCTGCTCGAACCCCTGTAGACCCTCCGTTTCCAGCGTTTCATCTTCGCGATGTCGAGCCCCTTCTATACGTCCTCTACAACCTTGACCCATTCCGTAGGTTGCCTACCCCTCTTTTTGTTTGCCCACTTCGCCTCCCATACCATTCTCGGCAACCTCTCCTCTCCCATCCCGCACATGCGATACTG